CCCCCCCCCCCCCCCCCCCCCCCCCCCCCACAGCCAATAGCCTTACTCGTAGTAAAAGCCACTGCCAAGGTGTCTTATATTTCAAACCCCAGCATTTTGCAGGCAAAGAAAAAGCACGTTTACTTCAAAAGAGCAGAGTTGGCTGGTGGCCGGTGAACTCTAGAAGTGCACGTATATTGGATATTTTCCACCGTTTTCCAGGCGCTATGCCATACACACACAGCCAGAATAAAACTACCACAACCAGAATGATAAATCACACACAAAATAGAATATTTTGCATCGGCGGATTATTAGGATGGCAATTTTCATTTAGTAGCAATAGTAGCTATAGGTTGATCGACAGAAAAATCAATTGGCAACAATTTTGATAATGAGATTTTTCTGACATTTTATAGATTATCACTAAAGAAAAATAGTAGTTAGTTGCACATAAATATGACAATAATTATTATTCATTATCATTATTATTATAATATTGAGGGTATTGAATCTATCATCACTCATTGAGGAATCTGATACGAAATTAAAGAATGTTTAAATGGAAGTATCCCAGTGATTATGAGATTATGAACACTGAATATACATCTGAAGCAAACTAAATCCTCATATGTCTTCAGACGCCCCTGAGTCCATGTTGCCTGGGTCCGTCTCTTCTCTGCGGTGAGTCTGTGTATCTCACTGGTGCGTCTCCCACGGGTGCAACAAGACCAATCACAGCGTCAATCTCATTGGCCTCTTTGACCTCCACAGCCACAACAGCGTGTCCCCTAACACACTAACGAAAACAGGCAAAGCAAAGACAGCATCTGGAGGCTCTGAGCTGGACAGGTCACTGTGAGGTTACAGAATAACCAACACACAGGGAATTACACCGATTCTTTTAATTGAGCGGTTGTATGGGATTTTGAAGGAAATTGTTTTTTGAATGGAGCTGAAAAAAGATGAGTGATACTATTTTTGTCCCGCCCATGTTAGGCACACAGATATTTCTTCCCTGTGATCATTTCATCGCTTCGTCTATATCCTTCATTTACAAACACAGTCACCATTGAAGAGCAGGAACTCTGCATGTTTTGTCATGTATAATATCTGTTTTGAGGTTGTGAAAAAGGAGAAAAATAATGAGCCGGGCATCCAGATGGACTACACTCATTATTTGTAGTCTGCTGCCCTCTAGTGCTCAACAGCATCAACAGCCCAAACACTGTCCTGAGAGTGCACTTTTGGTCTGATACACTGCATTTATTCATTAAAAAAAAGCTGTTAGAAATACAATCAACACGGAATTTGTTTCAAACCTGAAAGAAAAGATCTAATCTAGGTCTTACTATGCAATCTATATCTCCTCCTTTCCCCCTCTGGTGGTCCCAAATCGTGGAGAAATCTTTGTCTGCTCTGACTTGACTATGAATAAAACTTTGAACAAAAAGAGGGCAGAGAAAGGAGAGTACGACAGGTACCAGGTCAAATGGCAAGTGGTTTTGGACTGATGGGAAATAGATGCACCCACGCAAATAAGGCTGAAGGCTGAAGGCTTATACATCAACATGGGGGGGATGTGGTGAGAGGTGGGGGTTGGATATACCATCAGTATACAAATAGAAGAAGAAAAACAGAGAAGGGAGGTGAGAGCAGAATCAGTGTGTGACGGATGTCTGCAGCCTGGACATTAAGGCCACAGTTGAAGACAGATTACGGCAGTTGTTTTGGTGAGGTTCTCCACTCTCGACCAAACACACAAACTGGTTCTCTTTCACACACATACACATCCATTTTTCGTATCCCCCCCTCAATCCTCAATCTTCTAAATCACTCTAATGTCTCCCCTCCGGATAAACAAAAAGTACCATGAGATGTGCGCTTTAACCCAGTTAGCTAATAGCTACAAGTAACCTACCTAAATGTGTGTCACGACCAAGCGGTCCCCTTCAAACCAGACCAAAATGTCCTTCCATGTGTTCCCCACTGAGGGGCAGACAGACATTCACAGTGGAGGGGATAAGCACTCACACATACACACACACACAGGCAGGCAGCGTGTACACTTTAAGGTGGGGTCCTAAACGCGTTAATATATTTGGCGAGAATTGTTAGCATTGAATGCTTATCACTGTATGTTAAATGAAAGAGAAAGATAGCAGGGCGTTGCACGTTTTTTACCGTCACAAAAACAGATTATGTGGGTCATATTGAAGCTACTAAATTAATTAATCAACAGAAAGTTGCTTTCTGTTACTGAAAAATGTGGTGACAATTCAAAGAGGGAAGTCACAGAGTGTAGGATGATCTATAGATTAAAAGCAAGCCCTCATATGACCGTGCATAAATAAATAAAATAGAATTCATGTCAATTTAAACATCAAAGCATGCTTTTAAAAAACGATGATTCATGCAGCGTTAACAGGGGAGCAGACTGCTATCCACAGCTATATGTAACAGTTTATGTGGGAATCATGTGGGATTTACACATAAAACTAAAATGAATTGGATTTATGTTCTATCACATCAGTGGAAAGTGGGTGTCTAGGTTTTAACTGACAAACATCAGCCACATTTTCAAGCATTTTAAAACTACTATGCGGTTTGGTGGAAGAAAAGCAAGTCTTAGTTACATTAAACCACTCGCAAGCTAAAACTGCAATGCATTTCATTTTGAACTACCCAAGAAAAGGTTTATTTATCCTGACAATGATGTGAAAAAGCTAGAAAACTGGTCACATCCATGTTGCGTAATCTGCCAATTCCCCATGAAGCCACTGTTGTGGAACGAAGTCACTCTGAAGACAAGCAAGAAAATATAATCAAGAATTTTAATAGATTGAAGCTTTTCCTCTGACAATATCTCCGCGCTACTTCAATGACTTCAGTGGGCGATCCAAATAACAACAAGAGCCAACACAGTTGACTGTTGATTAAGAACTTCCGTGAATCAACGGGGAGTTAATGTCTTGGTGGAAACCAGTGGCGGCCTGACTGCTGCGACTGTGCAGAGGGGGGAAGTGATCCCTTTTCTGTTTTACACAGAAATGGCAGCAGAAGAATAAACAATTTCACGGTCTGTTGGAAACAGTTATACACGGCGTTGCACAATCACACCCAGTTTCTTCCTATTATTCACACGCTGCTTTGTATCAGCATAACATACTGCAATAATAAGTCATTTCACCGAGGCACAATTGAGCGGAGCGGCTTTAAAGAAAAGTAGGC